GCATGCATCTGATGGCTAAAAGGTCTCATTCTATTCTGTAATTTTCCAAAGATTTTTAATAATCAATTTTCCTGGCTGCAGAAGGGCCAGAAACAAGAGTGCAAGATTTAAGGTGATTAACAAAAGAACCAGAGGTAATACAAGGAAATAATTTCTCAACAGAAAGTTGTTATAAGACCACAAGAAACAGGAACAGGAGTAGGTTGTTCGGCCCTTCAAGCCTGGTATGCCATTCAATAGTGTCTGAAAGGGTAAGAAGTTTGATAGCAATTTCCAAAATTAACTTGGCTAAATATTGAATAGAAAAAAAAATACATCAGGGTCATTGGGAAAAGAGCACAGGAGGGGAAGTAATCAGATAAATCTATAAAACAACAAGTACACATTTGGTAAGCCAACTGCATCATTTTACAATTCAGTGCCTGCATACCATGTAGACGAACATTTAAATCTCACACACCTACCACTCTTTTAGTGTTTATTCATGGGATGTGGGCTTTGCCGGCTAAGTATTTATCTGCCATCCCTAATCATTCTTGAGAAGGTGGTGATGAGCTGCGTTCTTGAACCACCCACAATCCAATGTGGGGGTAGGTGGGTGGGTGTTTGCAGACATTCATGGTCCGGTTGGGAAGGTAGTTCCAGGATTTTGACATGGTGATAGTGATCAAATGTATGATATAGTTTCAAATAATGATGCTGTGTGGCTTGGAAGAAGACCCAGAGATGGTGATGCTTCCATGCATCTGCTCCCCCTCTCCTTCTAGCTGCTGGTGGCTGTGCGTTTATAGGTGCTCTCTAAGAAGCTATGGTAAATTTCCGCAGTGCGTCCTGTAAAATATACACAATGCTGCCACTGAGTGTCAGTGGTAGAGGGACTGATTGTCATAGGTGCCAATCCAGCTTTGTCCTGACTGGTATCAAGCTTGTTGAGTGTTGTTGGAGATGCATTCTTCCAGGCAAGTGGGGAATATTCCATCAAACTCCTGACCTGTGCCTGGTAGATGGTGGATTGAATTTGGAGAGTCAGGAGCTGAGATAGTCGCTGCAGCATTTCTAGCCTCTGATCTGCTCTTGCAGCCATAGTATTTAGATGGCTAGTGCAGTTCAGTTTCTGGTCAATGGTGGCCCCAGGATGTTGATAATGGGAGGTTCAGTGATTGTAATGCCATTGAATGTCAAGGTACATGGTTAGTCTCTCCCTTGCTGGAGGTGGTCGTTGACTGGCACTTGTGTGGTATGTTTTTTACTTGCCACCTATCAGTCCTAGCTTAAAATAAATGGGTTCTGAAGAAAGGATGTTTGCATATTCTGAAAAATTTAAATGTGTCAACAGATACACAGACCTGAAAAACATTCATGCCAAAGAGTAAAAGTAAATGTTCAAGTAAAAAAGTAAATGGAGAGCATCATGAAGGTAATGGCATGATTGCACCAGAGATACAGGAGCAGAATTATGCCATTTGGCCCATCGAATATGCTCCACCATTTGATCATGGTTGATATGTTTCTCAATCCCATTATACAATTGCTACAATGTGGAAGTAGGCCATTCAGCCCATCAACTCTGCATCAACTCATGGAATAGCATCCCACCCACCTTGTCCTGTAACGCTGCGTTTCTCATGACGAATCCACCTAACCTGCACATAGGCAATTTAGCATGGCCGGTCTACCTAACCTGCAGATCTTTGGACTGCGGGAGGAAGCCCATGCAGACATCAGGAGAGCATGCAAACTTCACACAGACAGTTTCCCAAGGGTGGAATCAAACCCGGGTCCCTGGCACTGTGAGTCACCGTCCCACCTCATTCTCCTGTCTTCTCCCCCTAACTCTGATTCCCTCAAGAATCAAGAATCCATCTATCTCTGTCTTAAATAAACTCAATGATGACTTCAACAGCCTTCTGTGACATGAATTCCAGAGATTAACCATCCTCTGGCTGAAGAAATTCCTCTCCATCTCAGTTCTAAAGGGTCGTCCCTTCACTCTGAGAATTTTCCCTCAGCTCCTAGTCTCTTCTCGTGGAAATATATTCTCCGCATCCACTCTATCCAGGCCTCACAATATTCTGCAAGTTTAAAATGAGATCCCCCTTCATCCTTCTAAATTCCATCAAGTACAGACCCAGAGTCCTCAACCGCTCCTCATATGACAAGCCCATCATCCCCAGGATCATTCTTGTAAACCTCCTCTGGGCCCCCTCCAAAGCTGACGCATCCTTTTTTAGATATAGGGCCCAAAATGGCTCACAATCTGACCAGAGCCTTATACAGCTTCAGTTGTATATCTCTGCTCTTGTACTTTCTAGCTCTCTTGAAATAAATGCTAACATTGCATTCACCTTCCTAGCTGCCAACTGAACTTGGGCAATCAAGTCGCTTTGTGTTTCTGAAGCCTTTCCCCATTTAGAAAATAGTCTACACCTCTATTCTTCCTACTAAAGTGCATAATCATAGAATTCATAGATCATAGAATCCCTACAGTGTGGAAACAGGCCCTTCAGCCCAACAAATCCACACTGACTCTCCCAGACACCTACCCCATAACCCACATAATCTACACATCCCTGAACACTATGGACAATTTAGCATGGCCAATCCACCTAGCCTGCACATCTTGGACTGTGGGAGGAAACCAGAGCACCCGGACGAAACCCACAGAGACACAGGGAAAATGTGCAATTTCCACACAGACAGTCGCCTGAGGGTGGAATCAAACCAGGGTCCCTGGCGCTGTGAGGCAGCAGTGCTAACCACTAAGCCACCATGCTGTCCCCATGGTCTCACACTTTGCCACATTGTAGTCCATCTGCTACTTCCATCTGTCCACTCTCCTAGCCTGCCCAAGTCCTTCTGCAGCCTCTTGGCTTCCTCAACACAACCTGTCCCTCCACTTATCTTTGTGTCATCTGTAAACTCAGTAACAATGCCATCAGTTCCTTCATACTGATCATTAACATATAACATGAATAGTCATGATCCCAAAATTGACCCCTGTGGAACTCCACTAGTCACTGGCTGCTATCCTGAAAAAGACCTCCTTATCCCCACTCTCTGCTTTCTGTCAATTAGCCGATCCTATATCCATGCCAATACCTTGCCCCAAACACCATGGGCTCTGATCTTATTTAGCAGCCTCCTGTGCAGCACCTTGCCAAAGGCCTTCTGGAAATCCAATTGATCATATCCACTGGCTCTTCTTTGTCTAACTTCCTTGTTACGTCCTCAAAGAATTCTGGCAGATTTGTATTATATGACCTCCCCTTGAAGAAGCAGTTCTAACTCAGGTTCAATTCTAAGTGCTCTTTAATCTCAGTTTAATAATGGACTCCAAACCTCACTAATGAATGAGGTCAGGCTAACCGGCCTGTAGGTTCCTGTCTTCTGCCTCCCTCTTTTCTTAAACGGGGGTGTTACATTAACCATTTTCCAATCCTCTGGTACCCTCCCTGACTCCAATTATTCCTTAAAGATAGTCATCAACACCTTTAAAATCTCCTCAGCTATCTCCTTCAGACCCTCTGGTGCAGTCCATCTGGCTGGGGTGATTTATTCACCTTCAGACCTTTCAGCTTCCCCAGCACCTTTCCTTAGTAATGACCAATGAACTCACCTCTGGCCTCGACTGTCTTGACCTTCTGGTATGCTACTGGTGTCTTCCACTTTGAAAACTGACACAAGGTACAGATTCAGTTTCTCCTCCATTTCTTTGACCATTACAACTACTCCAGCCTCATTTTCCAGCAGTCCAATGTCCACTCTTACCTCTTCTTACCTTTCAGATATTTAAAAGAACTCTTGCAATCTTCTTCTTTATTAGTAGCTGGTTCACTCTCAAATTTCATCTTCTCCCCCATGTTGCTTTTTTAAGTAACCATCACCACATTGTATGCTTTTTCTTGGGCTTTTTTTGATTTCCCTGACTTCCCTTGTCAGCCATGGTTGCTTCGTCCTCCCCTTATTATGTTTCTTCTTCTTTGGGAAGAATTTCTGATGTGTCTCTGAATTACTCCCAGAAAATCGTGCCATTGCTGCTCCACCACCTTACCCACTAGTTCCCCCTTCCAATCAGCTCTGGTCAGCTCCTCCCTCATGTTTTTGTAGTTGCCTTTACGCCAAACGAAGCAGGCATTGTAGATCCATATCGTGAAAATAAAATCTACCTTTTCACAAGCAATAATACAGAGAACCATTGTAACATGATGAGCAGCGGTACAGATAGTTCATACAGCACTCCTAAATTCCCTATTAGCCACTATCTTACAGTTGCGGCCCTTAGTTCTGATCTCTGAAACAAGTGGGAAACAACTTCTTTTTGTTTACCCTACAAAAACTGCTATGTAGACAGATTTGAGTTTATGTCATATTGCCTACAGCAGACAGAGCAATTAAATTGATTCATATGCATGTCGACTCACTGGTAAAGAATATGCTTTCACCAATGCTAACTTAGCTGAGAGGCTTTATGGGACTGGCCACCGCCAGGATGTCCAGCAAATCCTTCAGAAGAGCACTTTTGGATAAAGCCAAAATAGATATTGTGGATGTTGTGCTAGAAGAAGAATACAAGCTTGAAACAACTGCAGCAAACCAGCAGAATCCTTAAGTGAATTAAAGCAAAACACTGCAGATGCTGGAAATCTGAATCAAACACCAAGACTCCTGGAGGAACTCAACAGGTCTGGTGGCATCCGTGGTGAGAGAAATAGGGTGAATGTTTCAAGTCTGGCATGACTCTTTTTAAGAACCATCCTGTCTCTGATACCTCAGTCTAGATCTGCTACTGCACCTACCTCCAAATAAGGCTTATTCTCTACAACTATTGTCTGCAACATCTCCCCTCTCTTGCACTTACAACCTCTGCACTCCGAACCCTTGCATGCCCTGTGCACTGCCTTCTCAATCATTTGGGCCACTTTGCCATCATTCCACACTTGCACCAGTGTCACCAGCTCACTTTCAACCCACTCAATGCCTCCCCTTTTCTCATTCCAGGACAAAATGGCTCTTAATAGGAGGTGAAAGGGCCAGGACAGGGGAGCAGCCTGCTGGATATTCATCTCCTCACTTCTTCTGAAGAGAGGATCTTGGCTTCTGCCATGAAAGAGCAGGGCTGCTCCATTGCAGATGCCGAAAACTCAATGTCCCACCAATCAAGTAAGACACTTTTTTTTTTCATTTACAGGATGAGGGTGTCGCTGGCTCGACAATCATTTATTACCCATCCCTAATTGTCAATTAGTTTAGAGTCAACCACATTGCCGTGAGTCTGGAGTCACATGTAGGCCAGACCAGGTAAGGATGGTAGATTTCTCTCCCTAAAGGACATTAGTAAACCAGATGGTTCTTCCTTACATCAGTGATGGTTTAATGGTCATCATTAAACTCTTAATTCCAGATTTTTATTGGATTCAAATTCCACCATCTGCTGTGGTAGGGATTCAAACCCAGGTCCCCAGAATTAACAGTCTCTGGATTAACAGTCCAATGAAAATACCACTATCCTATCACCTCCCCGTTGTTCATTGCCATATGATCCTCCAATGATCCTTCCTGTGCTTTTATTGTTAAAATGCCAGAACCACAATTCCTTGGTCACAACATTGTCCCTGATATCTTCCTGTCCTGCATGACAAGTCCTCCCTTTCCCTTGAGGAAGAGGGCAGGGATGCCTCAAAGGAAGTACTGGCCCACACAACGCCAGAGCAGCTCTGAATCTGACAGGCAGAAAGGTGGAGTTGAGGCTGCGATGAGATCAGCCATGATTATATTAGGTGGCAGGGCAGGCTCAAGTGGCTAATTTGCCTATCCTACTAATTCTTATGTTCTTTAGGAGTTCAAGCCAAGAGGGTGCACTGCCTCTGGGTAGGACACAATCAACATGTCTGGACTCAAACACCCTGGGGTTAGCCAACAAAACCCCCAAGGCCAGCAAGCTCCATTTGTTCACGAGCTCTCTCAGGATTGCACTGAGACATAGTGAAGAAAATAAAGAAGAAGACGTCCTGAGGACACACAGCTTACACAGGTGACATGTCACTGTAAATACATTATTGCATTAGTAAATATATGTTCACTTTTCACAATCATCTGTGTGTGTGTGTGTGTGTGTGTGTATGTGTGTGTGTGTGTG